GACCGAGACTACCTGCAGGACCATCTGGTCCAGATCTCAATCAAGGGACATACGTCGAGACCGCTACAGGGTCTCATTTCATCTATCCTCTCGCCGTCTCCATCATCTCGACTCAGCGTGTCGAAGGTACCCTTCGACAAATTCGTATCCTACTCACTAAACGATACCGTCGTCAACTTGACGACCACGACATCTTCGATCTCGAGCATCTCATACTCAAGCTCGAATCCATCCGCACTGACATCGCGAAATTCAAACTTTCCTTCGTTCACCAACACGTGGTTCGCGACTTTTGCAACTACGTCCAGGAAAGGAAGCATCAGGGCGGAGAAGCTCGCTGGATAATCAGAGATATTATCCAGAAATATCGTCTAGGAATACAGGTCACAGGACGACCTTTGTTGTAGATACGAATATTTACTCTGTATATGTCTTCATCCGGCGATTCGAACAATCTTGAAAACTTCGAGCAAATAAATCCAATCGGTCACACTTTTGATTATCTTTGGGATTCAATTCCACGTGTTCTTCGAGACAGAGCAGGCGAAGCGTTTGCTACATACGAGGACACGTTTGACATCGACTACCACGACGTATATCACATATACGCCCTCCAAATCTATCCAGAATTTGATTGGAGGAACGTCGCGGTTCATATCTGTTATATCCCTATTGGATCCGAAGAACCCGAGGACCGTCTCACCGAAGCTTACAATAGCTTCGTCGATTGGCTCGAAGAAGTCGAGCGTATTTGCGAAATTCATCACAACCATCAGTGGCCCGCAGTCCGGGACAAGACCAGGTTTTTGTGGCAACCCTTCGTCAAGGTCATTCATCAAGATCTTTGGTTGCTGCGAAACCAACGCTCAGGACGAGTAATTGTCCGACAGGCCACAATCGCGAATAGGCATATCGCCGAGTTCGAAGAACATCTTCGCGAGATAGAGGAAGAACTGTAAAAATGACGACCCCCACTCCCAATGATCCAAGCTTTTCTCGTGCTCCATCTCCGGAGCTTCCCGCACGTCTTAATATTGTTTTGCAACCCCCGAATCCTATCATTCGTCAAGCCCTTGCCGACACAGCGCCCCCAAATGCGAATATACCCAAAAATGTAAAGAATTGGGTAGTCGATCTCGTCACGAACGTGGTGGAAGAAATGCGTCAACAAACGGTGGCGCATTACGAAAATCTTATCCAGCGCCAAGCACATACAATGGAAAGTAACACCACGGAATTCCACAATCGGATGGTCTTCTTAGACCAACATCGTCAACAATCCGAGTCTCGAATCGCAGACTTGAAAAAAACCTCGTCAGCTTTACTCGAGGCACACAAGAACACTGACGACTCGTTGGTGGCATTTGACGATGAGATCAAGGATCTCCAAACCAGGATGGAAGACCTGAAGAAATCACACGATCGACTTCGCGCATGGGCATCCACGCAAGGACGGAAAGCAGGGCAAGGCAGTACCAATGTCGATGACACAGACGACGACGATGAGCCGTCGTTTGGTCGCAAGGGTAAAGGCGTAAAAATTGACCAACCAGAAAAATATGGTGGCAATAAGGATGGAGTCAATCTCGATGATTGGCTCGAACAAGTCATGCTCTGGTTGAAATATACCGGACATACCAAGGACGAGTCCAAAATTATGTCTACCCTCTTGCTCCTGAAAGGAGGAGCACGCGAATACATGCGGCATTGGATCACCGAAATAAACGAAAACAACAAAGCACCCGGAACTTGGGCGGAGTTCGTCTCAGAACTTCGCACGGCATACGAATCATTGGACAAGGATGACAAGAAGCGAACGGAGTTAGAAGCCTTCGTCAAGAAGGATCATCGAGACTTCCGAAAGTTCGCAGAAGACTTCCGTCCAAAGGCAACAGGTACAGGCTTCTCGGATCAAGATTTGATCGAAAAGATCAAGAAACATATTCCGGAGAAAACGTGGCTGCTCATGCTGGCGGACACGACTAAGGACAACTGGCCCAAGAAATGGACCGAGTTCCTTACATTCGCACTCCGGATATTCACATCACTACAACGAGAAGGCCACCATGCCAAGGCCGAAAC